ATAACCCAAACTTTACCCCAAAACCTAACAACTATAACCCTTAAAACCCTAGCCTTAACCCTACCTTTACTTTTAAACCTAACCATACCACAAACTCATTAGCAGTAAATGTGAGAATCTTCCAGAACAACATGTAGTTATACACTAAACCCATAGTTTTGTGTTACATACAGTCTACATAATAGTAATACATACATAGGCCACCTGATATAAAGTGATCATTTTATTACAATTTTGTGTACGATATCTTAATTTTTAGCAGTCCGATCAAATTATGAGCCACGATAGAGAAATTGAGCATCATGATGGATATTACTTCAGTTGTCACACTGAAAATGGAAAATCAAATCAACCTAACATTAATTCATACCAACATCACTAAATGTAATGGGTTATTACAAGTAAAAATAACTCTTTAAGGTAACAAATGCATATTGTACAAAATTATAATGCTCATTTTGGCAAATCATGCAGATATTAAGTGCATGCTGCTGACAAATGGCATGTCATTATGATATTTGGAGCATAGCCACCACATTTTTATATCTTTATAATGTAAAACTCTTAATAGTGAACTCGTAAAACAAGTTTTGTTTGTCGTTTGATAACATTGCTAAATATTTAATAAGAACATTATGAATATCATTTGTAATTAATCCGTGATTAAGTTTAAAGGCATAGTTCACCCAAAAATTATATTTTGAAGAATGTAAGTAACCAGTCATTTGCTGGTAGCCATTGACTTCCACAGAATGGGAAAAATACTATGAAAGTCAGTGGCTACCAGCGACTGTTTGGTTACCAACATGATCAAATGATGACAGAATTTTCATTTTTGGATAAACTATTAATTTTAGATGAACTATCAATGTGATTTTAAGAAAAGAGCATCAATCTGTAGTATAAAGAAAGTTTATGCAATGTTTAGGTGTACAGTGATTAATACACACACAACACTAGATTGTTCTGCTCTTGTTTTCTCTGTAATGGTTTCATGGCTTTTGGCAGCTCTTAGCATCACTATGTTTCTGCGCATGTGCTGTTCCTCAAGCATGCTGTAAATTCATAACGACCCTGCAATCAATATCCGCATGCAGTAATGCACCGCTTACGTATGCAAAGAAGCTCCGCGCCTCGCTTTGAATTTACAGAGCAAATCAGGCTTTTCTTAGGAAACTCCTTAATCTTATTTAGGATATTTAGAGCGCATATACATTAGTGAAGTAAAGGAATGGAAATCATATTTCAAATCTGCCTTTCAATACTCACAGGTCATCGTTACAGATTGTTAACTTGATTTGTGGCCTGAGCTTCCGGGCACCTGCTGTTTTATATCCACCCCGCCAGCACATTTATTTTCACCACTATGATATGATGATGCGTTTCAAAATATTAGCAGATTTAGAATGGATAATATCTTGGACAGAATTTAAGACTTACACTTACACACTTATAGATGAGAGAGAGAGAGAGTGAGTGTGTGTGTGTGTGTGTGTGTGTGTGTGTGTGTGTCTTAAAAAGAGGCAGGAGATGCTAAAAGACTCTCTGGCTGCCATCTTTACTGTATGTATGCGAGTGGGTTTAGTTTATATTGCTCGTAAACCCAGCATGACTGAATAACTGTGATTGCTACTCGTGGTACGAAGGAAACTTGCAAATCACACTGCCATTGAATTCCTGGCCTTGCTTTTATATGAATAGTTCACCCAAAAATGAAAATGTGCTGAAAATGTCCTCATCCTCTGGCCATCCAAGATGTAGATGAGTTAGTTTCTTCATCAGATTTGGAGAAATGTGGCATTCCATCACTTGCTAACCAATGGATCCTCTGCAGTGAATGGGTGCCGTCAGAATGAGAGTCCAAACAGCTGATAAAAATATCACAATTATCCGTAAGTAATCCACACCACTCCAGTTCATCAATTAACATCTTGTGAAGCCAAAAGCTGTGTGTTTATAAACTAAACTGCATTAAGACGTTTTTAACTGCAATACAAGTCCATAATCCATAATAATGCTTCCTCAAGCGAAAAAAAAAATCAATCTCCTTGTCTTCTCACATCAAAACCCACCCACTTATTTGTTTAGAGCTGTTTTGGACTGTAAATGGTGTTTGATCTGTGCAGATTTCTCTCCTGATTCAGACCAGATGACTTTTTCACTGGAGGAAGCATTATTATGGATAATAGACTTGTATTTTAGCTGAAAGCACCGGTTTGAAGTTAAAAACACCATAATTATGGATTTGTGCCTTTCAAACACGCAGCTTTTGGATTCACAAGATGTTAATTGATGGACTGAAGATGTGTGGATGACTTGTGGATTGTTGTGATGTTTTTATCAGCTGTTTGGACTCTCATTCTGACGGCACCCATTCACTGCAGAGGATCTATTAATGAGCATGTGAGGTAATGCTTCATTTCTCCAAATCTGATGAACAAACAGACTCATCTACATCTTGGGTGACCTGAGGGTGAGGACATTTTCAGCAATTTTTTTTTCTTTTTTTGGTGAACTGTTCCTTTAAAAGATACACAGCAGAAACTACACAGAGTTGAAGGCGTGGCTTTGGTTTATTTGGAATATGATGCATCCGCTTTCATCTGGTCCTGTTTCTCCAGATGACTCTATCACCCGACGGTCCTCAAAAAGAGATGTGGAGACCATTGATGTTTGCAGCCCTTAAATGCACAATCATTTAAAAAAGCTGGACATTCCACTCCAGAATAATATAGAGTTTTGATCTGCTGTGTGCTCCTCACAACACAAGGATCTTCAAGTGTCTCTCGAGCTCAGAGGACGTGCTATTTCCTGCATGTGTGCGATGAGCTGAAGCTCTGCCACCAGGCCGCACACGCCGGGGCAAATGCCACAGAGCTCTATTAAAGCCTGATTGAAATGGCTCTGTAAGTGGGTCCCAGGTGCATTAACGCTATAGCAATTTACTGAAATCGAGTGAAACAAGAGGCACAGCGCAGAGACAAGAGCTGAGATGCTCTGAGAGAGATGCTCTGTTGAGGGAGTGTATTGGTAAGATGCTAGTAGGTCTGAGTTTCTGAGTGTGTCAAAAGGCCAGCTGTGTTTGTGTGTGTGTGTGTGCGTGTGTGTGTGTGCGTGCGTGCGTGTGTGTGTGATAGGTCATAGATGCCACCAAAGGACAATTAAAAAAGTGAATTGTGTAAATTGTGTAAAAAGTGTAAATTTATCATGTAATATTATCCATTATCAACTATAACATCATTACTGCCAGTGTAATTGTTAAACCATCATTGTTTGATATGATGTCTGATATGACTATTTAAAATATATTTTAATTTGATCTGTATTACAGGAAGTTATCTCTGATGTACACAAAAACATATTTACATGTATGTCTTCTGGTATATCTGTGGTACCTTTTTTTCCTTTTCTCATTAATATCTATAACAATGACAAACGTGTTATTTATTTATTTATTTAATTTTGCTTTACATTTGAATAATCATAATTTAGAATAAACATGATTTAGACAAACAGGCATGTCAGCACTTTTTACAGTGCAGAAAACAAACATTTCTCTAATTTGTTTGTTTGTTTGTTTGTAGTAGTTGAAGTTGTATGAACATACAACATTTTGCTTTAAATTTTAATGACAGTTTTAATGGCAGGGATCCTTTTGTGCCAGACTTGTTGAAACAGGCTTACGATGGAAGGTTAAATTAAGATTATTAAATAAAACAGACAGACAGACAGACATATAGATAGATAGATAGATAGATAGATAGATAGATAGATAGATAGATAGATAGATGATGTATTTGTTTGTGGTGGATGAATGTCGTAAGAGAATACTTTTTGCTTTGATTTTCATAATCTTAATTTAACCTTCCAATAACGTGACAGGGACCGTTTTGTTCGATAATCTTAAAAGGACTTAGAACGCTCTGACAAACGTGGTATTTATTTATTTATTTAATTTTGCTTTACATTTGAATAATCATAATTTAGAATAAACATGATTTAGACAAACAGGCATGTCAGCACTTTTTACAGTGCAGAAAACAAACATTTCTCTAATTTGTTTGTTTGTTTGTTTGTAGTAGTTGAAGTTGTATGAACATACAACATTTTGCTTTAAATTTTAATGACAGTTTTAATGGCAGGCTTTCTTTTGTGCCAGACTTGTTGAAACAGGCTTACGATGGAAGGTTAAATTAAGATTATTAAATAAAACAGACAGACAGACAGACAGACAGATAGATAGATAGATAGATAGATAGATAGATAGATAGATAGATAGATAGATAGATGATGTATTTGTTTGTGGTGGATGAATGTCGTAAGAGAATACTTTTTGCTTTGATTTTCATAATCTTAATTTAACCTTCCAATAACGTGACAGGGACCGTTTTGTTCGATAATCTTAAAAGGACTTCAACAGAACGCTCTTTAATTATAATTCTTATGTTTCTTTTGTCATAGGATAAAATTAACGACCCTGAATCGTCACTGAAAAAAGACGTTGTTCACTGTCTGTCCGCCCGTGGGTGGCGATGGTCCGTGGATGTTTTTATCTCCAGTCTCTGACCGTGTCAGATGGACACGTTCCGTTTGAGATGACTCGGAGACACGCGTGGAGGCGGGGTGGGGTGCATTGGGTGGGGGTGTCGGTCGGTGTGTTCACGCCTCTGTAGGAACTCTTTCAGCACCGCGGACAGAGACACACACACACGTGACGCGCTCCGCTCCTGCGCTTTTGTGATGCTAAACAACTGCAGGTCATCAGGATTCCTCCTCCCTCAGACATCCTGAACAACACAGCGACTCAATCTAGACATTTGAAAAGTTGTAGAGCCCCGAAACACCGAGGGACCGCCGCCCGGGCCGTTTTCTGTGAATTATTTTGTTGGGCCGCTCTTATTTGTTTTATTTTTCCCCACTCATTTTAAACAGTCCTATATTGTTTTTCTTTTATATATATATATATATTTTTTTTTTTATCTCCTATTAGTTTATTTTCATTTGCGTCAGAATGTTGTTAGAACATCCGGGATCAAGCTGTCAAAATGCTGGGAATTACACCAGATACAGTTCGAGTCAAGGTAAGAGAGCTATTTCTCTACATTAGTTTAACGCAGATTCCTTTGTGCTGTTTAATATGGAAATCGACTAGAAAACTGACAAGCTTCCAATGAGCTTTGACATGTCATCGAAAACACAAGAGCAACAATCCGCCGGTACTTCTTTACAAAATATAGGCTACTATTAAAGCTTGTAATATTTATCATATACGCGTCGTAGACGGCCTGTTTGAGTGGAAATTGTAAATGCATTTTATCTCTCACTCAAAGACGGATAAATGTTCTTATGCACTACATAATAAATTAACTTTAATATTTTTACTTAATAAGTACAGCCTAATGTCATTGGAGATCCTATTTAAGACCCTGAAATAATTTTATTCCCGACTTCAAGTATTAGTATTAGTATTAGTATTAGTATTAGTGCATTCGAAATTATACGAAAAGCTTAGGCTAGTAGCCTATTACACATCTACATGTAACGCATTTTAACGTCTAAAGTACCGTTTGCTTCAGCTCAAGAGCCCTACACAGCTAAAGCGGTTAAGGAGAAGTAAATGGCTCTTCGCTGAACCTCATGAACCCTTCTGAAGAGTGTTTGGTGGATGAAGCGTTACTCTGGAGGTCAAGGGTTTGTGGAGTTTCTGCATTAGACACATACATTCACAAGCACGTAATACTGATAGTCTTGAAAAAGTCGTCTTTTTCGACAAACTAACAACTGTTCCTGCTCCGAACATTCACCTGTCGGACGCCGTATGAATATGTAATGAGCAACATTGTTAGCGCGTGGAACAGATGTGAAGCGCACGCGGTCACGGTTGTCATGAGAGACCCACGAGCGGACCGAAGCTCCGTCCGCGAGACCAGCAGGTATCGGGTTTCCCTCAACAGGTGCAGCACCTGAACCAGAGGAGACCCGGTTTAGGGCTGTTCTGGAGAGTTAAACCTGGAGTATAATATTAATGTGTTTTCTCAACACATTCTGTCTTTGAGACGCGAGAGGCTTGGTTTTCTTTAATGACACTGTTTTACAATTGTCGTGTTACACATATGTTGATAATTATTAATTAGGCTATTATAGTAACAATACGTAGCCTAAGTATTAGCAGCTCTACAAATTAATTGTTCGGTAACTACAAGTTGTCACTTAGGCCTATGTACCTACATACGCAGTAAAATTGTCACTATCAAATATAGCAAACTTTAACAAATATTTAAAAAAATAATAATAAAATAAAACAAGTGATGTTGTTATAGAGCTGTCAAAATTACGTGGTCAAAAATTGTTGTCAAAAAAATCGCGCTTTTCAGTCGTGAGATTTTGTTACATCAAAGGTGAACAGGTCAATATGACATAAAAATGATAAATCTGAAAGTAAGGAGGAACATTGCGGCACCTTTCGCCGATATGTGCTTCATAAAGTGTGGAAATCCAAGCAAATGTGGCATTGATTTTGAGTTTATCATGCGGCGGCCGCAGTGCCACTAAAGCTGATTTCCCCAGACACAGCAGATCAGTATCGATAACATTCATCTGGAGCTTGAGCAGCTCGATCAGCATTTCACACAACTGTCCTCTCTTTCCTACAGCAAACAGTTGTCTGACCCAAATCGATGTAGAGAAATGGAATGATCTGGATTGAAAAGTTCACAGTTTATGTGCATCTCAAAGGGACATGATTCATTTTCGCTTTGTAGAAGCAAAAGCATTGCGCCAAACTTACAGGTTGATAAAAAGTGCATTGGTCAGAAACAGATTCATTTGTAGGCCTGTTGTTTGCGTTGACATCATGTGAAAAACTTTCTACAGCTGGGCGTTGTAATAATTAATTCGCTTTGCATTTTTGCATTAATTACGTTTAGTAGGCTATCTGTTTGCATCGGTGTCAAGATTTCTTGTCCATCAAAAGTAGATACAACTATATCATTCAGCTGAGAATAACAAATAAGAAGACAAGCGGAGAAATTGTTTGATTTAAATGACGCCAATTTCATCGTGTGTGTCTATCGAAAATAATTCAGACACTGATATGTTTACCCTAATTAGACTTTTTACTTTTAAGTAAACAGCTAAATGCATTAGAAATGTGTCAGTACGCATATTTCTAGTCTTTCTTGTGTATTCGCATGTTTCTTCTTTAATTGCAAATGTAATGGGTGTATTTTGCCAGTATGCTTTACGCACTGTGACAGGGTGTATTTTGAATACTTCAGATCTAGATCAAGATGGGGATTTGACAGGTGCGCATGTTTGTGTGATGGACACACACCTGCTTTTGGGAAACACAGTCGCCATCGTTCGCAGCTAATGAGGGCATCATATGACACATTTATGGAAAATAGCGTGAAGAATATTTGTGCGTCTCTCGCGCAAAAGTACTAAAAGGATTATGTGGGCAGTGAATATTTTGTGGACGTTTCTCACAGAAACTCCGTGAGGCTGTTGTGCTGGTTTTGTCCAGGTGATGCTCATCTGTTTTATCAGTCACCAGAGTAACGGGGCGGCGTTTCTATTGCGCATCAAGAGCCACAAGACGCAGAAAGTCGCCGCGCGATGGATGTGTTTCTGGCACGCGCGCGTCTTCTGCCAATTGTGCGCTACATATAACGCTTAGATAGTTATATTATCGCACGCGTTTTGTCTTTCTTTATCGGAATAATGAAAATGGAGCAGAATAAGGCTCGGGATTCGCCGAAAGAGCCGTCCTCTCATCACACGGAGATGCTGCTGGCTTTACTCACGCAGAGAGAGGAGTTACGGAAAGGTACAGCCGACATCAGAGCACGGAAGAAACTTACAGATCAATTCAGATCTAGAAAAATATGAAGCACCTCAGAGTATTAGTCCAATCTTGCGTGAGTTGCACATTTGCTGAAAGCTTGTAATTTAATTAGCCTTACATTTGAAAAATGCACTTTAGGTGACTGTTGTTTAATGCTCTTTGTGTTTAATTTTAATAGATGAATTGTAATTGTGGAGTAGATCTTTTCTCAGTAGAGTTTATTTCTCCTGCATGCGTAACGCTTTTCGTGCCGCTCTAATGCTCTGGATTAGGAGTGATTGTGTTTCTGTGGGATTAAATCTTAAACAGCGGCTCACAACAACATATGTCTGCGTCTTTCTGTTTCCAAAAATCGGCAACATTTCCCATTTTGGACTTTGACGCGCATGAAAGATATCAAGGTGCAAAATCGGGGTTTGATCAATCGCGCCTAGGTGGAAAGTCCTTGGTGTACAAATAGGCTACATTTTAGAAAACGAAATAAAACGAAAACATTACAGTGAGTGTTGAGAAATAAGGACAATTTCCCCGAAACAGCCCGTCATTCTGAGTGAAGGCTGCAGGGGGACAGAAACTATTCCAGACGCTATGTTTGAACGAAAAATGTGAGATTTCTGCCCTTTATAGACTAATAATTAGAGCTGTAGGTTGATTGAATAATTGATAGGTACTCGTGCACCTGTTCATGACGTGTGTGTTGATGTCAGAGAAGCAGCTGCACGCTCAAAGACACTTGATTTGCCAGATAAAACGCGCCTCGGCCTTATTTATTGAATTGTTATTGTTATTAATAAGAACATTTCGAGGAGTGAGTGGATCGTGGTTTCATTTCATTTTAATCAGAATTTGACCAAATTTGTTAGAGCAAAGAAGATGTAATCAAAGGTGTGTTTTCTGGATATTTATGACAGTCATATGGGTACAGAGAACTGTTAAGGACACCCACAGAGCAAGCGGGTTCTCGAAATTGAGCATTTAGCTACTTATCAACATAAGCACATGAAAACTGCTGTTTTGAGGACAACGTAAATAATAATAATAATAATAGTGTGTGGCTATTTATTGTTATTGTTATATTTGTTCATGTAGTTGATTTTATTTGATGTGCTTTATGTACCTGTGTAATGGAAAGGGTGTTGCTTTTTATTCAAGTCTTTATACAAGCTTTTTAAACAAAGACAGACTTAAGATTTACATCATAAATACTTAAGTACACAATACTAAATGAACACATTAAAATTCTCCGTTTTACGTTGTTAAAGAGAATGATTACTTTAATAAAAGCTCGTCTGTTTACCGGTGTGGTTTACTGTGACCTTGAATTGCATTGTGATTTATCACAAGACTGTGCTTACATGCTGTAATATTGTATAATAATAATAATAATAAATAATATCATATACATATAATAATATAAAATACATATAGGCCTATAAATCCTATGTAAACAAGTAATTGTTAACTGTGATGTTACTTTATTGCACAAGCTTTGCATTGATGATAGCACGAAAGACCATTTGACAAAAATAAATATATAAGCAAACAAACAAATAAATAAACCTAATGAGTGAAAACCTCCAATGTTCAAACCAAAACTACGCCCTTGACAATACAGCAAAGAATTAGAATTATTAATCATTTAATAATAATAATAATAATTAGTATTACGCTTAAATGATCTCTCTCTCTCTCTCTCTCTCTCTCTCTCCTCTCTCTCTCTCTCTATAGAGAATTATATATATATTGTAATTTGTAATATTAATGGATATGTTTAGTAAATAAAACCACACTGAAAAACAAATTAAATGCATATCATAATCAAAGCACGAATGAAAGCGACGTTCATCACTTAAATAAAGCGAAATTACTCGGTCAGGGCAACAAATATCCGTCGTCTTTTGCATGTTTTGTCTTTTTTAATTTTTTTAATGTTTTTAAAAAACCTTTTTTTTTTTGCAAAAAGGTTCATGATGCATTTCATTCTGATACAGTATTTGATATTAACCGCTTTCTTGTTTTTTTCTACTTGCAGATATTCCAGTTTGCGCGGGCTGTAACCAGCACATAGTCGATCGTTTTATCCTGAAAGTTTTGGATCGACACTGGCACAGCAAATGTCTGAAATGCAGCGACTGTCAGTCTCAGCTGGCCGACAAATGCTTCAGTCGAGGCGACAGTGTCTACTGCAAAGACGACTTCTTCAAGTCAGTCCTTCTTCAGCACTTGTTTCATATCGTTCACACTCACGCTTCGGGTGCCATCTGACCGGTGTTTGACCGTATTTTGCCTGCAGGAGATTCGGGACCAAGTGCGCTGCGTGTCAGCAGGGCATCCCGCCGACACAGGTGGTCCGGAGGGCGCAGGACTTCGTGTATCACCTGCACTGCTTCGCCTGTGTCGTATGTAAGTCTCTCTCTCTCTCTCTCTCTCTCTCTCTCTCCTCTCTCTCTCTCTCTATAGAGAATTATATATATATTGTAATTTGTAATATTAATGGATATGTTTAGTAAATAAAACCACACTGAAAAACAAATTAAATGCATATCATAATCAAAGCACGAATGAAAGCGACGTTCATCACTTAAATAACGCGAAATTACTCGGTCAGGGCAACAAATAGCCGTCATCTTTTGCATGTTTTGTCTTTTTTTATTTTTTTAATGTTTTTAAAAAACCTTTTTTTTTTCGCAAAAAGGTTCATGATGCATTTCATTCTGATACAGTATTTGATATTAACCGCTTTCTTGTTTTTTTCTACTTGCAGATATTCCAGTTTGCGCGGGCTGTAACCAGCACATAGTCGATCGTTTTATCCTGAAAGTTTTGGATCGACACTGGCACAGCAAATGTCTGAAATGCAGCGACTGTCAGTCTCAGCTGGCCGACAAATGCTTCAGTCGAGGCGACAGTGTCTACTGCAAAGACGACTTCTTCAAGTCAGTCCTTCTTCAGCACTTGTTTCATATCGTTCACACTCACGCTTCGGGTGCCATCTGACCGGTGTTTGACCGTATTTTGCCTGCAGGAGATTCGGGACCAAGTGCGCTGCGTGTCAGCAGGGCATCCCGCCGACACAGGTGGTCCGGAGGGCGCAGGACTTCGTGTATCACCTGCACTGCTTCGCCTGTGTCGTATGTAAGAGGCAGCTGGCCACAGGTGACGAGTATTACCTGATGGAGGACAGTCGACTGGTGTGTAAAGCTGATTATGAGACCGCCAAACAGAGAGGTACGTGCACACGCGACACCTTTGTTTATTCAGCAGATGTTTATTTTTGTAAGAGAAAATCAGAGAAGTTAGGCTACCTCAAGCGCAGTTTTGTATGAGCAGGCACAGTTGCCTAAGTCTTCATTGTTTTACTTCTTTCATTCGATGACCTCACATTGATTGGCCGCTTTTAACTCTGAGCTTAATCTCGCTGGTCGTGGGCTCGTCCATAAACATTTGACCCGGCTCAGGTAATTGCGAACTCGCCAGCCTCCAAATCGATAAGTGCCAACGCCATACAGAAGCGTTCTAGTGAGCGCTGTACACACGCACTAGAGCTGATCTATGGAGCCAGAGAGACACAATCTGCATTCAGGGCAGTTTTCAGACAGATTCAGCGCTTTAATACTGGACAAATCGGACTGCGTAGTGATTTATTTGGAAATGGAGTCTGGAAAGGCCTTTAGCGTCATCCGTTGAGTCGATAAACTCACGTTACACAGCTCATCACTGAATATGTGCGTTCTAAATGTTCAAAACATGCGTTTCAGTTGACATTCATAGAATAGAATAGAATAGAATAGAATAGAATAGACATTGAGACACAATCTGCATTCAGGGCAGTTTTCAGACAGATTCAGCGCTTTAATACTGGACAAATCGGACTGCGTAGTGATTTATTTGGAAATGGAGTCTGGAAAGGCCTTTAGCGTCATCCGTTGAGTCGATAAACTCACGTTACACAGCTCATCACTGAATATGTGCGTTCTAAATGTTCAAAGCATGCGTTTCAGTTGACATTCATAGAATAGAATAGAATAGAATAGAATAGAATAGAATAGAATAGACATTTAAAAATAAAGGCTCCAAAAGGGGGTATTCGCAACAGTGCCACAGAAGAACAATTTTTGGTTCCCCAAAGAACCCTTTAGCTTAAAAAAAACGTTTTTTTCTTATTGTGAAAACATAAAGAACATTTAGTGCAAAAGAAAGATGCATGGATGTTAAAGGTTCTTCATAGAACCATCTATGAAAATAAAGAGATTATTTAAAGAATAGAAAACGGCCATTTTTAAAATAGAATAGAATAGAATAGAATAGAATGGAATGGAATGGATGATAAAACGAGCATACATCTCGAAATGAGAATAGATTCTAATGTCTATAAGAAATAAATTCGTTTGTTAAATTAAAATATGTTTCTTATATTACAGAGACGGAACGCTCGTTGTGAATTATTTAGGAAAGGGGTCTGGAAGAGACCCTGAGCATCATTCATTGAGCAGATAAACTTACAGTACACTGAATAACTGCATTCTAAATGTTTGATACAGGCCTTCAGTGCCTTCACCTCACCGACGCTCAGATTCGAATAAAATAGAACGTATAATGTGCAATTGTTTCTGTAAAGATATTATAACTTGACTAGCATTCGTTTAACCTAATAATAATAATAATAATAATAATAATATAGTTTTGACTGGAATAAAGTTAGATATTATTTGAAATGCGTTTACATTTGTTACCTTAAAGAATAGAATAGAATAGAATAAAATAGAATAGAATAGAATACATAGTCATAATTTAAGAAGAGTATGCCTTAATGATGCCGTATCAATTAACATAAAGGTGTAGCCTGATTGTAGAATTAGAAATAAATTCGTTTTTATAAATCAAAATATGTTTCTTATATTACAGAGGCGGATTCGACAGCAAAACGCCCGCGCACAACAATCACCGCCAAACAGCTGGAGACGCTGAAGAACGCGTACAATAACTCACCGAAACCCGCGCGCCACGTGCGGGAGCAGCTGTCGTCGGAGACTGGTCTCGACATGCGGGTGGTGCAGGTAACAGCTACATCTACATCACACCTACAGCTCATTCTCAACACAACAAATGTGCAATACAACAGAACTACACCACAAAAACGCGCGGTTATTTATCTCACCCTTAAAAATGCAACTTTCTGCGTGACATTAAATAATAGATTTGAATTGAATAAAAAAAGGTAATAGCCTAAATGTTACCACACTAAGCACATTTGTGTAGGTTCACTGACAATGAAGTTAACTGAAATTAAAACACTAAATGAAAAATAGTCATTAATAATACTAAAGAAAAAAAACATATAGCATATAAGACGCCTAGCCCAGCTGACTGCGACTTGGACGTATAAAATTATAATATTCATAGGATATCCAATATGCAATATGTAATTGTTCCCTGTAATATTTTCACGCTATTATTCACAAAAAAAATGTAACGTATCATCTATTTACATATATATACATATATACATAATAAATATACACAGTACACATACACATATTATGTAAACAAAAACTTTTATTTTGTATGCAATTAATCGCGATTAATCATTTGACAGCACTAAT